ACCATTTTACTTTAAAATAATAAATATTTTAAAGTATAACACAGACTAGGTGGCATAAAGAACAGAAGCTTATTTTCTTACAGATCTGAAGGCTGGAAGTCCAAGATCAGGGTGCCAGCAGGTGTGGTTTCCCCTGAGACCCCTGTCCTTGGCTTGCAGACGGCCACCACCCTCTTGCCACTCTCTGCACGTGGTTGTCCCGTGTGCACGAGCACTCCTGGGATCTCATTGCGTGTCCAGATTTCCTCTTCTTCAGGCATATCAGATTAGGGTCCACCCGAATGACCTTGGTTTAACTTAATCTCCTCTTTTGGTCCACACGTTGTTACTTTTTGAGACACCTGGGGTTAGGACATCAACATATGGATTTGGGAGTGGGCACAGTTCAAGCCTACGCAGGTACTGAGAGCTTAGTTTTGTCTGAGCCGAGGGGCTGCAGGCAGTGGGAGGAAGCGCGGGGGAAGTGGGCGTGGGAGCAGAACCCACGATCAGAGGAGAGGGAGGCTCCGGGGAGGCCATCCGAACGCGGTTGTAAAAGGGTTTCCGGACGCAGAGTGTTGCAGCAGGAAGGGAGTTTATGAACAAAGAGCAGAGATAGTGTGGGCTCTCTGAGCACAGTCGGCTGACTTTGTGACAGACCAGAGAAATCCAACTGGACGCTGTTAGAACAGCGGGCTGGCTCAAGGGAAAGCCGACGCTTTCATGGGTTAGAAGCCACTTTTATAGCTTCAAGACGAAGGGAATTCCTGCTGGAAGGGCGGCATTAGGTGATTAGGGCGTCAAGGGTGAGCACTGAGGGGGCCATTTTTGCCTGATACGGGGTCAGGAAGCTTGCGGGTGATGATCAAGGGGGCTTTTGGCAATGGTTTCAAAGGGGCTCAGAGAATCCCATGGACAGAGGAGCCTGGTGAGCCACAGTCCATGGGGTCACAAACAGTGGGACACGACTGAGCAACTAACACTTTGTAACACTTTCACAAAGGGGCTCAGTCAGTTCCCGAGGTGACCTTGGTTCTGGCATCTGTGGCCTTGCAATGGGACTCCACAGCTGCCACAGAGATCTTTCTGGGAAGCCAGGAGCCAGGGGTACATACCGTGTCTGTACTGCTAAGTGGCACAGAATCCAGGAGGCGGTCTCTGTCTGGCCGGAGCTTCACTGGTAGGCCCACAGCCACGTCAAGGCCTGAGGCCTTCCGGAAAGTAGAAATTGGAACTTGGGTGTCAGCCCAGCCCAGCAGAGGGGTCTGGGAGGGAGATAGCTAGGGAGGCAGCCGTGAGGGCCACAGGGCCCAGGGCGAAGATGACATTGAACACGCACCTCCCTCCTGGGCGTCTCCTTGCCAGAGATGGGTGTTCACCCACAGGCCCTGGACAGATCATCTCTGCACAGCCTCAGCCTTCACCATGACTGAGAAATACTCCTGCAGTTTCCGCAGCAACCCCTGACCTTCCTTTCACTGTCTGGACTGGCTCAGGCTTTCTCCACATTCTTTTCAACTTAATTGACATTTATACAGCTTCCTACCCCCAAATTGCAGAATCCACATTCTTTTCAAATGCATATGAAACATTTACCAAGATAGACCATATTCTGGGCTATAAAACAGACCTCAGTGAATTTTAAAGGATTTGAGTAAGCTTCTGCCTTAAGAAATTAAAAAAGAAGAAGAAAAAGAAGAAGGAGAGGAACTTCCCGGGTGGCCGGGTGGTCAAGAATCTGCCTTCCAGTGCAGGGGGATGTGGGTTTTGGTTCCTGGTCGGGGAACTAAGATCCTGCATGCCTCGGGGCAACTAAACCTGCATACTGTAATGAAGACCCAGAACGACCAAAAACAAGAAGAGCAGGAGAAGAAGAAGTGGGGGAGTGGTCTTTGCTGAGTGTACAGAGCTTCTCCATCTTGGTCTGCAAAGAATATGATCAGCCTTATTTCAGTGTCGACCATGTGGTGACGTCCATACGTAGAGCTGTCTCTTGTGTTGTTGGAAAAGGGTGTTTTTTGCTATGACCAGTGTGTCCTCGTGACAAAACTCGGTTCGCCTTTGCCCTGCTTCATTGACTGTTACTCCAGGTATCTCTTGACTTCCTACTTTTGCATTCCAATCCCGTATGATGAAAAGGACATCATTTTTTGGTGTTAGTTCTAGAAGGTCTTGTAGGTCTTCATAGAACCAGTCAACTTCAGCTTCTTCAGCATTAGTGGTTGGGGCATAGACTTGGATTACTGTGATGTTGAATGATTTGCCTCGGAAACAAACCAGGATCATTCTGTTGTTTTTGAGGCTGCACCCAAGTACTGCATTTCGGACTCTTTTGTTGACTGCGAGGGTTACTCCATTCCTTCTAAGGAATTCTTGCCCACAGTAGTAGATATAATGGTCATCTGAATTAAATTCACCCATTCCCATACATTTTAGTTCACTGATTCCCAAGATGTTGATATTCACTCTTGCTATCTCTTGCTTGACCCTGTTCAATTTACCTTGATTCATGGACCTAACATTCCAGGTTTCTATGCAATACTGTTCTTTTCAGCATTGGATTATACTTCCACCACCAGAAATATCCACACTGAGTGTAATTTCCATTTTGGCCCAGCCTTTTCATTCTTTCTGAAGCTATTAGTAATTGCCCTCCACTCTTCCCTAGTAGCATGTTGGGCACCTTCCAACCTGGGGTGGGGGGGTTCATCTTTTGGTGTCATATCTTTTTGCCTTTTCATACTGTTCACGGGGTTCTCAAGGCAAGAATACTGGAGTGGTTTGCCATTCCCTCCTCCGGTGGGCCACGTTTTGTCAGAACTGCTCACTATGACCCATCCTTCTTGGGTTGTATGGCTTGGCTCATAGCTTCATTGAGTTATGCAAGTCCCTTCACCATGACAAGGCTATGATACATGAAGGAAAGCTATGGCAAAGCTAGACAACATATTAAAAAGCAGAGACGTCACTTTGCCCACAAGGGTCAGTACAGTCAAAGCTATGGTTTTTCTGGTAGTCATGTGTAGATGTGAGAGTAGGACCACAAAGAAGGCTGGGAACTGATGAATTGATGCTTTTGAATTGTAGTGCTAGAGAAGACTCTTGAGAGTCCCTTGGACAGCAAGGAGATCAAACCAGTCAATCCGAAAGGAAATCAACCCTGAATATTCATTGAAAGGACTGATACTAAAGCTCCAATATTTTGGCTACCTGATGTGAACAGCTGACACTAGAAAAGACCTTGATGCTGGAAAAGATTGATGGTAAAAGGAGAAGGGGGCATCAGAGGATGTGTTGGTTATGAATTTGAGCAAACTCTGAAAGATAGTGGAGGACAGGGGAGCCTGGCGTGCTTCAGTACATGGGGCTGCAAAGAGTCAGACATGACTTATCAATGGAACAACAACAAAGTGGTCTTTGCAGATATAATTAAAAGTTGTGAAGTGAGAAGATCATCCTGGATTATCTGGGTGAACCCTAAATCCAATAACGAGTATTTTTATAAGAGACACATGAGGAAAAGGTGTTATGAAGTCAGAGGCAGAAATGGGAGTGGTGTAACCAAGGAATGCCAGGTGGCCACCAACAGCTACAAGATACGAAGAAGGGATTTTCTCATACAGGCCCCTGAGGGAGCATGGCCCTGCCAACACCTTGCTTTCAGTCTTCTGACCTCCAGAATGGTTAGAGGATAAACTTCTGTTGTTTTAAGCCACCGAGTATGTGGTAATTTATTGTGGCATCCTCAAGAAACTAGTGTAGATATCCATATGCAATTAAAAAAAAAAAAAGAATTTTGGCCCACACCTTGAAGTATATGTGAAAATTAACTCAAAAACAGATCATGGGGGTTCCCTGGTGGCTCAGCGGTGAAGAATCCTCCTGCTAATGCAGGAGACACAGGTTCGATCCCCAATCCAGAAAGATCCCACATACCATGGAGCAACTAAGCCCGTGTGCCGTGACTACTGAGCCCATGTGCTGCAGCTACTGAAACCTGCACGCTCTAGAGCCTGTGCTCTGCAACAAGAGAAGCTACTCCAATGAGAAGCCCTCTCACCATAACTAGAGAGCAGCCTCCACTCACAGCAAGTAGAGAAAAAGCAATGAAGACCCAGCACAGTCAAAATATAAGTAAATCAATCAATAAATAAAAACAGATCATAAACGTAAATGTAAAACTGAAACTTCTAGAAGAAAAGAAAACCTTTGCAACCCTGGGTCAAGCAAAGATTTATTTATTATTTTTATTTATTGCTGCACTGTGAGGCATGTGGGATCTTAGTTCCCTGACCAGGGATCAAACCCACGCCCCCTCCATCCAGAAGGCAGATTCTTAACCACTGGACCACCAGGGAAGTCCCAAGGCTTTTTGAATTTATCTGCTCCTGCATGTCCAGCACTGACCATGAGCTCAGGCTCCCAGAGGGTGCTCAGCAAACATGTGTGAGTGGGACGAATTAAGCCATTCAGGGCACAAGACGCTCGGGCCACAGAGCCGGCATTGAGTCTCCTGGGGATTCGAGTCGGCCACGTTCCACCCAGCAGGGAAAACTCAGAGCTGACGTCAATTCAGACCCCACATACGTGATTCTTACCCAGCGAGACATCGAGACAATCTCACCCTTTGTCGGAACTGTGGTGGGAGTCTTAACTTAGGCGGAGAGAGAAGCAGTCTAAAATCAGTCGCTTTTCTGAAGGCATCCACTCAAGAAATTAAGGATTCTGTCAACGTGCCCTGAATTTCTGGGCCCAGCAATTAATTCCTTCTAGATTAAAGGATTGTTGTGTTTCTAATACATTATTATGCGGAGCGGGCTTGCTGTGAATTTTAAAACTTTAGCTAGAATCCTCATTAACGGGGACCTTTTATCTGTGTGCAACTTCTAGAGGAGGCTGGCGGCTGAAAAGTAAGCTGACACATCCAGAAGGGAAAAGCACCGACTCGGGGGCATCCTGACACACATTCAGCGTGAGCGGCTGTCCTCTGTCCTCACGGCGACAGGGCCGTGTCCGCACAGGGCCCGCCCAGGCTGGGCACGGTGCACTCAGCCCAGCAGCCCTCACCTGCCCTGTCCGTGTCCACAGCTGTTACCACCTGCGGCTGACGGGTGAGGAGACGGTGGCTGTGCGGGGAGGTGAGGGCTCCTGGCCCCCGCCCATGGTGGCCCGTCTGTCTCAGCTCCAGACCCCATGTTTGTGCTGTTTTCTACTGCAGCCCCCGCTTCCCGCACAGCGGAGATTGCTGTGCAGAAGGATAAGCCCAAGGCCTTCTGAGTCCACCATCCATTCAAGAGCCAGCATGGTACCCAAGGCCACGTCTGTGCTGGGAGCGAGGCTCCACTGGGCCCTGGGGAGTCCAGAGGCCACAGGGAGCCGTGGAAATGCAACTGCATGTGAGGCTGAGGGTGACCCAGAGGCCAGGGGTGCCATCCTCTGTCTGGGCCCCTCGGGGTTCTCTCAGGGTTCTCTTCTCAGCGTCCAGTGTGGCTGCACTCACGGCAGAAACTGAACTCAGAAGTAACCCTTTGGGGGGAGATTTCCAAGACCTGGTCAGACACCGGCTGGGCCACCGTGCGTGAACCTGGGTCTCCCCACCCCTAGTATTTTAGCCAATGCTCCTTTTTAGTTCTCATGGGTTCGTGTGCATAGCGTGTGTGCACAAAGCCACCTCCTCACTGCACCCCAGCCCCACGCAGGCCGGGAACCACCGCCTGCCCCTCCACCCCTACAGTCCAGCACAGGTTCCTGCAGCCCAGGGTCTCTTTCTGGAAACTTTAGAAACTCAAAAGGGACTGAGTCAGGAGCTTCTCTAAGGAAGTGCCCTCCTCCAGCTCCCCAGGCGAGAGGTTGAGAGGCAGGCAGGCCCCTGAGAGCAGCCGTAGTCCCAGGGCCTCCTTCCTCGGGGCCCTTGGAGCCCACCTATGGCAGACGGGCTGCTCAGCGCCTCCTCCCAGGGCAGCTGGAACTCACCACCACACAGAGCCTTCACAATATTCTTCTCTTGGAAAACAAAACCTAAAGGAAATGCTGGGACTTGCCTGTTGGTCCATTGGCTAGGACTGTGCACTCCCAATGCAGGGGGGCCCAGGTTTGATTCCTGGTCAGGGAACTAGATCCCACATGCAGCAGATACAAGTTCACATGCTGCCACCAAGACCTGGTGCTGCTGAATAAATAAATATTAAAATAAAATAAAGGAAATGCTGATGCATGCGGCAACATGGATGAAACTTGAGGACAAGATGCTGAGTGAAATCTCCCAGTCACAAAAAGACAAACACTGTGAGAATCCACTATATGAGGTCCCTAGAGCCGCTGAATTCTTAGAGACAGAAAGCAGAATGGTGGTTGCCAGGGAGGTCGGAAGGGAGGGATGGGGAGATTGTGTTTAACGGGGCAGGGTTTCAGTTTTGTGAGATGAGAAGCGTTCTGGAGATAGATGGTGGTTGCACAATATGGATGCACTTAATACCGTTGAACTTCAAAAAATGGTTAAAATAGTAAATTTAAGTGATATATATTTACCACCATTTTTTATAATCTGTTTTACATCGATGAGCTGCTAATGTTTTTTATTTATTTATGTGTTTTTGGCTTCGCTGGGTCTTCGTTGCTGCCCATGGGCTTTCTCTAGTTGTGGCGAGCAGGGGCTCTTCTTTGTTGTGGTATGGGGCCTCTCTCGGTGTGGGTCACAGTCTCTAGGCTTGAGGCCTTCAGCAGTTGTGACTTGAGGGCCCTTGAGCAAGCAGGCTCCTGTAGTTGTGGTTCCAGGCTTAGGTGCTCTGAGGCATGTGGAATCTTCCCGGACCAGGGATCGAACCTGTGTTCCCTGCATTGGCAGGCAGATGCTTATCCCCTGCACCACCAGGGTAGTCCACCCCGATTTTTTTTAAGTTAAAAAAGTATCTAAAATTTCCCTTCATCAAGCATCCTGGTATTCCCATTCTCTCACTGAATCCTGGCAGCCGTATTTGGAGGTAATTTCTCCTACTGCCCTCATTTAATAGATAAGGAAACCAAGATGAGTGAGGTGATGTGAGTGGCTTCAGGTCACCCAGAAAGTAAGCACAGGGCCAAGGCTTGGCCCAGGGGCCTACTGCAGGACCTGCTGCCTCCTGCCGGGGGCCCTGGCCATGAAGGGAGCCACGCCTCCCTGACCACTTGCCGCAGCTCGGCCCTGATTCCCCTGCCAGGGGCGGCCAAGGGGCCATCCAGATGGTGGGTCCCTGCTGACCGAGAAGGGGCCAGATTGGAAACCCCCTGCCAGGGCTTCCAAGTGCAGCCCAGACCTCTGTCCTGGAAGTGCCCGTACACTTCTGCTGGTGGGGGGCGGGGCGGCAAGGAGAGAAGTAGCCGGGCCTGGCCGCAGGCCTGGACAGTGACCGTTGGGGGACAGGGTTTTGGAACAGCCCAAGGGCCCCCCCACAGGCCCTGGAATGCCCATTTTCCCCAGACTGTGACACCCATCCCCTCCTGTACAGAGTCCGGGGCTGCAGTAACCGAGTACCACAAACGGGAGGCGTGAACAACATGCTTCTGGTCTCAGCTCGGGAGGCGGGAGTCTGAGGTTGAGGGCGCTGCAGGTGCCTTCAGGGGCCCGAGGGGGCATCTGTACCACCGCTCTCGGTAGCTTCTGGTGGCCTCGGGCACTCCTTGTACCAGTGGTGGCCGTCTCCCTGTCTTCACACCATTTTCCCTCCATCTGTCCAAGTGTCCAGATTTCCCCTTTCATAAGGACACAGCCATGTCGGATGAGGGTCCACCTCAATGACCTCACCTTAACTTGCATGCTCATCCGCTGTAGTCATGTTTGACTCTTTGCGACCCTATGGACCTCAGCCCACCAGGCTCCTCTGTCCATGGGATTCTCCAGGCAAGAATACTGGAGTGGGTTGCCATGTCCTCTTCCAGGGGATCTTCCTGACCCAGGAATCGAACCCGCATCACCTGCATTGCAGGCATATTCTTTACCACTGAGCCACTGGTGAAGCCCAACTTGAGCATCTTCAAAGACTCTCTTTCTAGATAACATCACATCCCAAGGGTTAGGACTTACTTCAGCGTGTTTTAGAGGGACACCATCTGACCCACGACAGCTCTGTCCCACGGCAGTTACTGCCTTCGGCCTCCCTGAGGCCAGCGGGGAAGGTTCTGAGGGTCGGGGATGTTTGCAAAGTGAAAGGACATTTTGGCACACTCTTTAAGATTTTATGAATTTATAATTGTCGTCGTCCCATACTGAATGCCCTCTGTGTGCCAGGCACCCTCTAAGAATGACCATCACCCATTTCGCAGCCCTCCGTGGAAGGAGTGAGACTCAAATCATCACAGCTGGAGTAAAAGACAATGCCTGAATTTGGACAGGAGAGGAGGTGTGTGGGGAAGGTTTTTTCTACCTCCTAAATATCTCCTTCCCAGGTAGTGCTAGTGGTAAAGAACCCACCTGCCAATATAGGAGAGTGTAAGAGATGGGGGTTTGGTCCCTGGGTCGGGAAGATCCCCTGGAGGAAGGCATGGCAACCCACTCCAGTATTCTTGCCTGGAGAATCCCACGGACAGAGGAGCCCAGCGGGCTACAGTCCATGGGGTCTCAAAGAATCAGACACGACTGAAGTGATTTAGCACGCAAAAATATCCAGATCTGGTGACTTCTCTCCATCCGTACGTGCCCTCCTGTTCCAGTGTCCTGGGGCCGATGTAACAAATGAGCACAAACTTGGCTTAAAGCTGCAGAAGTGTATCCTGTCACACTTCTGGACGAGGAAGTCAGGATGTCAGCAGGGCTCCCTCTGAAGCGTCTAGAGGGGGGCTCCTCCCCTGCCTCAGGCAGCTTCCGGTGGCTCCAGGAGGTCCTTGGCTGGTGACTGCATCCCTCTTGAAGCTCTGCCTCTGTCTTCACAGGGCCTTCTTTCTGTCTCTCCTCCAGTGTCCTTTATCAGGACATTTGTCCTTGGACTTAGGGCCCATCTGGGTAATCCAGGATGATCTCATCTCAAAGTCATTAGTTTAGTTACATCTGCAGGAGACTTCCCTGGGGGGCCGAGTGGTTAAGAATCTTCCCACCAGTGCAGACATGAGTTCAATCCCTGGTCCAGGAAGATTCCACAAGCTTCAGGGCAACTAAGCCTGTGAGCCACAACTACTGAGCCTGTGCTTGGGAGTCCTCGAGTTGCATCTATGGAGCCCATGTGCTGAACTACTGAAGCCCGTGAGCCTAGAGCCTGTGCTTCACAAGAGAAGCCCCCGCCCTGAGAAGCCGGTGCGCTGCGCCCAAGAGTAGCGCCTGCTCATCACAACTAGAGGAAGCCTGTGCAACCAAGAATAAGCAATTAGCTTTGAAAATAATTTATATTTTAAATTACAAACGTGATACATGAGAGACCACCAAGCCAACTAGTTAGAAACAAGAAAATACAGGCACACCCATAATCCCCACCAACAAAGATATCTGGTGTCCAACGCTTCAAACATCCCTTTGCTCTTTTTACCTACATGGATCCTGAACGGGTGGCCGTGTACGTGGAAACTGTGACAACTCCTGGCCTTTGCATTCAGCTTCCTCTGATCTCCTGTGTGACTATCAATAAAGAACAATTCAGCACAGATTAGAAATGAAACCAGCTTTGACTTCAAAGGACAAGCAGTCAAGAGTTTAGCTAAGAAAGAAGGAGGATTTTCAGCTGTCTGGAGGTGGGGAAAATATTTTCAATGGGACTGGAAGTTTTCTTTCTTTGGCAAAAAAAAAAAAAGCACTAAAAAGAAGGAAAAGTCCAAACCCCAAACAAAGATCTGGGGAATCACTACATCAAGGTGGATGGATTACAAATGATTTATTTTCTTAAAAAAAAAAACAACTTTGATGATATTTTATCATTATCTTTTACCACTAAAAAGAGTCTGTCTAAGAAGGCTTTGAGGGATTACTGATGGAAAAGAATGATTTCACAAAACCCAGCAATTCTTAAGGAGAGTGCAGCCAAAAAGGCCTTTTCTGTTCTATAGTTTCTTCCAAGAACAGACTCACTGGGAGAGACCGAGTGAGCCGATAGCCACAGACCTGAGGAAAGCTGTGAGCATCTCAACTCCAGGAATGAGAGTTGCCTGTGAGCACTTAGGAAGAAGCAGGTAAGAAAAGGCATTTGAGGTGTCTCTCTTTATTTTATTTATTTATTTATTTATTTTTTTGAGGTGTCTCTCTTTAAAAGGACTGTGGTGAGAGACTTCCCTGGGGATCCAGCGGTCAAGACTCCACGCTTCTGCTACATGGGGCACAGGTTCCATTCCTGGTCAGGGAACTAAGATCCCACATGCCTCAAGGCACAACAGGAAACAGAAACGACTGTGGGGAAAAAATGGAAACTCTTAACCGTCCAGTAAGAAAGGCTGAACCTTCATGCTTCCTTTTTTTTAATACTTTGCTGCAAATGTTTTCCCAAACTATATGTTCTTTATTACAAAAAGTACTTGTATAAGCATCCCTTCTTAAACAGTGATTAGTAATCCTAATATTTACATTCAAGTGTTTCACAAATTCCCACTTAGTCTAAGAAAGTAGCATTAAATTTAGAAACACATACTCAGAGGCACGTAAGTCTAGAGGGCTGTGGACAGAGAAGCCCCTGTTTTCTCTCCCTTCATCCAGGGCAGGCATTGCTAAGTGATCACAGCACTCTTTTCCCTCAGTCTAGCGACTGCTTCTGTATTCCTGTCTGTTCTCAAAAGGCAACTTCTTGGAGAAGATCAGAGGGACCAAAAAAAAAAAAACCCCAGAAAAACCTCACTTCACGGCAGGTGCAAACCCAAGACGCCACCTAGTGGCGGAGCTTCCTAATTGCAGGCAGAGTACAACTGAAACTAGTTGGTTCCCTGGGCCAGCAAAAAAAGCCAGCCACGATGGTAGTAATCAAACCATTCAGTCTAGTCTTGAGTAAATACGTAGAGAAAAATTTTGAATTTCAACAGGGATTTTCCTTGCTTTAGCCGGAGAGATTGGCCAATAGAAGCATGTCACCGCGAGGGACCTTTAGAAAACCCGATTCTCCCCTAATATTCTCTTTGCCGAAGACTGGCTCTTCCATCTGTCACGTTTCCCCGGATGCCCAGATATCTCATTCTGCAAACTGCACACCCCATGCCTCAGATTCACTTGGGTACTTTTTCCTGAGCAGAATGTAGCAGCCCTGGGTAAGGAGCTCCTCTTTTGAATCTGAGTGCTCCCCTTAAGCTCAGTAGTAAAGAACCCACTTGCCTGTGCAGGCGACATAAGAGATGTGGGTTGCATCAGCAGACGAATGGATGAGGAAGCTGTGGTACATATACACCATGGAATATTACTCAGCCATTAAAAAGAATTCATTTGAATCAGTTCTAATGAGATGGATGAAACTGGAGCCCATTATACAGAGCGAAGTAAGCCAGAAAGATAAAGACCATTACAGTATACTAACACATATATATGGAATTTAGAAAGATGGTAACGATAACCCTATATGCAAAACAGAAAAAGAGACTCCGATGTATAGAACAGACTTGTGGACTCTGGGAGAAGGCGAGGGTGGGATGTTTCAAGAGAACAGCATCGAAACACGTATATTATCTAGGGTGAAACAGATCACCAGCCCAGGTTGGGTGCATGAGACAAGTGCTAGGGATCGGGTGGAGAGGGAGGTGGGAGCGGGGACCGGGATGGGGAATACATGTAAATCCATGGCTAATTCATTTCAATGTATGACAAAACCCACTGCAATGATGTAAAGTAATTAGCCTCCAACTAATAAAAATAAATGAAAAAAATAAATTAATTAAAAAAAATAAAAAATAAAAGCTGTGAAAAAAAAAAAGAGATGTGGGTTGGATCTCTGGGTTGGCAAGATCCCCTGGAGAAGGAAATCCACTCCAGTATTCTTGCCTGGGAAATCCCATGGACAGAGGAGCCCGGCAGGTCGCAGAGTCATACACAACTGAAGCGACTTAGCTTGCACGGTTAAGCAGCCACCCTGAGACAAGTGCTGCTATCCCCATTTTCCAGGCAGACGCACAGAGGCTCAGAGAGGGGAAGCAGCTTGGCCAGGGCCACACAATGAGGAAGATACAGGCAGGACTGAAACATCGTCCTCCTGGCCAAGCTGGGGCTACAGAGTCAGCCCCTTCCCAACATCAGGCTGGAATCCAGGCAGGTCCGCTCTGCTCCTGGGAACGTCCCACCATGGCAGGACACAAGCAACCCGGATGGGCCAACAGGCCCCCGTTGGAGGGAGCTGGGCATAGTGCAGGGTCCCGGGGTCAAGTCAGGGCCTGGACTGTCCTGACCACCTGCTCCAGGGCTCCGAAGCCAGACGCTGAGTGGCATTCTGCTGTCACTATCTGTGCAGCTTATCAGCTTCCTGGCCTCCCTTTCCTGGGCAGAATACCTCTGCACGGCGGCTATGATAATGCATGCCGTCTGCAGGCACACAGATAAAAGCTCAGGGCTGACTCAGGAGGGGGCAGGTCCTTGCTGCCCCCACCCTCTGCCCGCCCCCTGCC